GTTGTATATGTTTCCAAACTTGTGCAAGGAGGAGGGGTGTAAGGTCTTGAACTTCTTAGAATCTCAATAATTCTCTGATGATTGACAGGTTGATTTTATTTTGTGTTTAAAGAACATCCCAACGAATAGAAGAAACGACTCCTTCAAAACTGCACATTCTACCAGGGAAACCAGTTAGGAAGTTGTTTGAACTTCACATCTAAAATAAGAGTATTTTTATTAATTTAGGTAGCTTGAATATTTAATTAAGCCTGTCATTAATACCTCATAGAAATGCAAATCTGTATCTTTTCCCAGGAGTTCTTTTAAAGGAGGATGAACGCCCTCTTCAGGGGCGTATTCTCATAGGGCTAGAATTAAGAAATTAAGCTTTCCGAAGAAGAAAGAGGATGTTAGAGAATCTTTCTTTTGTTAATTTCACTGTGCAAGTTGTTCTCGAAGTACGTGCAAAAGGCTTTACACTTATCCCACATTTTAGGAATGACTGTGCATAAGTAAAATGAGATACCCCTCATGGCCACCTTACTCTGCTCTGCATCTCTGCAGGGGACTAGGCCTTACAGGGTATTTGGGCCACTACCTGTCCAGGGCTGGGGAAGATTGAAACCACATGGAGGAAATGTGGAAATATGAGCTCGTGCAGGTGTGTAAGGAGGGGACTGCTCATCCATTTCTTGTTCACCTGCCTGTCACTCATGTTTTTCCTTTTTAGTAACTTTAACAGGCTTGCCAAAGCCCTTTCTGTTGCCTCCGGAGAGAGGCTACCTACCTCCCCTTGGCAGTGAGGGTCTCTGTAATGTGGTTTCTGTCTGACCTCTAGGTCCTTATCTTCCACTTTTCCTTTCAGCTTTGGTCTAATTCACCCTCTCACTAACCCCATAGGGACCCCATACACTCTTGCCTCAGTGCCTTTGGTTGTGCTGTTCCCTCTTCCTTAATGCCTGGATCCTTCAATATCCAGTTCAAAAGCTGATATCTTCACAACCTTCCCTGACCCCTCCCCTTCTTCCATCCTCTAAAATATCATAGCGCTATATATGGACCTCCTTTATGCCACCAACCATGTTCTACCTTTGATAATAAAATTAATACTAACAATAAACAACAACAGCTAGCCATCATTCAACACTTCAGTGTGTCAGGCACTGTTACAGTCAACGAAAAGTAGTAGATTATTCATTTACTTATTTATTTTCTTTCAAGTATTTGTTTTTGGGGTTTTTTTTGTTTTTGTTTTTTAACATCTTTATTGGAGTATAATTGCTTTACAATGCTGTGTCAGTTTCTGCTTTATAACAAAGTGAATCAGTTATACATATACATATGTTCCCATATCTCTTCCCTCCCTCCCACCCTCCCTATCCCACCCCTCTAGGTGGTCACAAAGCACCGAGCTGACCTCCCTGTGCTATGCGGCTGCTTCCCACTATCTATCTGTTTTACATTTGGTAGTGTATATATGTCCATGACACTCTCTCACTTTGTCCTAGCTTACCCTTCCCCCTCCCCGTATCCTCAAGTCCATTCTCTAGTAGGTCTGTGTCTTTATTCCTGTCTTGCTCCTAGGTTCTTCATGACCATTTTTTTTTTTTTTTAGTTTCCATGTATATGTATTAGCATACGGTATTTGTTTTTCTCTTTCTGACTTACTTCGCTCTGTATGACAGACTCTAGGTCCATCCACCTCACTACAAATAACTCAATTTCGTTTCTTTTTATGGCTGAGTAATATTCCATTATATATATGTGTGCCACATCTTCTTTATCCATTCATCTGTCGATGGACACTTAGGTTGCTTCCATGTCCTGGCTATTGTAAATAGAGCTGCAATGAACATTTTGGTACATGACTCCTTTTGAATTATGGTTTTCTCAAAGTAGTAGATTATTTAATAATCAAAATAACCTTACTAGGGACTTATTTTGCTTCTGGCCATAATGGAATTGAAGCATCAAATTATCCCCTCACCTAAAACAAAACAAAACAAAAACAATGAACAAAATGTATGAAATAATGTGTTTTTTAAAACACTGGACAACAGTCAAAAGTGATCCCTGAGAAACAGGGAACAAATGAGTTGAGCCCTGTGACTGTCCTGGGTACGGCCCTGAAAGAACTTCCAGGCCATGGCACAGGGGAAGGAAACCAGGCAGAACCTGGTGGACTCCTTGAGTGAAGAAGACAAAGCTAGGAATTCAGAGAAGCTAAGTCATGTGCATGACTAAATAAACATAACACCCGGCTAAATAAACATCATTAATGCTTAAATTTAAGATAGAAAAATTGATTTCTATGCCTGGAAAGACATTGCCACCCACCCCATCATCTAGATAATTAAAGTGCAAAAATATCAAACAAATTTAGAGTACTGGCTCTGGAGCCTGTGCCTTTCACCATGCTGCCTACTTCCCTCCTCAATTCTGAGCTCTTTCAGGATTAGATACCTGTCTAGTGACGCACCATTCCCGGGTGCGTCACACATTCCTTTATATTATACATATTTGGTGCTCATTAAATTTTTTTGGATGAATGAACAAAGGTGTAAATATATTTTCTGTTTGTGAACTTACTGTGAAACAAATAACGGTGGGAAAAAAGAGTTTGCTGGAAGACTGTTAGGATCTGTAAAGCACTTCAGAGACTCAGTTTCCAAGTGTCCCCATGAGGAAGTAATCAGACACCGCTCTTGGGGCCCCATTCTCACAGGGCATCGCCCAGTCTTGCAAGGACATTGGACCACCTCTACGAGCTGTTCAGGCTCCTCCATACAAGCTGAGTACAGCTGCTGGCCCTCGAAGAAAGCCCACCTGGAAGGCGCAGGCCAGTGATCCGTAATTACCGTGGAAACAGATCACCGGACTGTCACAAGTGGCTGTCACCTGGTGCTCCAAACTAGGGAAAGACTGGGGTCTGGTAGCATCCTTTTGATAACAAGACTTCATGTTTCCTTTCAAGCAGGGAAATGAAGTGTCTTCTTCCAGAGAAGCTGTTTTCATGCCGTAGTTCTGTGTGTTATTGCCTCTGATCCCTGTTGCTAGTGGGCTGCTTTGTGACCCAAATATGCTGGTCCCCACAGCGTGTCTTTGAAGAACTAGTTTCACTTGTTGTCCTTCCTTCTCCATGGCCTGTGGTAAGCACCACCTCTCCAAGAAGCCTTTGCAGGTCCCCCAGCAGAGTTTTCTTTTCCAGCCAATAATACCCAAAGTGGGCTATTTGCTTCTTTGGGGCACTTTTTCCTCCTTCCTGCAGCAGAGTTTTTCCTGAAGGACAGATCACACAGGTGAAATCTGATCTCTTTAAACTGGGATTTGCCTTCCTCTGAAGGACACACAATGGGCACAGGAAAATTGCACAGCCATGGGAGAACCCGGGCCACCATCTTCTGCTAGCCTCTATGCCGTGTAAATATTTTCCCTTGTGCCAGCTACGTTATAACCTCTGAATATAAACATACAAATCTTAAAAATAGGTTACATAGCGGATACAAAATTCCACAAGCTTTTTATTTTCCTTTTTTTTTTATTGTGGTAAAATACACGTAACATGCAACGTACCACCTTAACCATTTTTTCAGTATCCAATTCAGTGGCATTAAGTACATTCACGTTGTATACAGCTGTCACCACCATCCATCTCCAGAACTTTTAATCTTCCCAAACTGACACTCTGTCCCCACGAAGCACTAACTCCCACCCCCTCCTCTCCCCAGCCCTTGGCAACCACCATCCTACTTTCTGACTCTATGAATTTGACTACTCTAGGAAACTCATATAAGTGGAATCATACGGGATTTGTCCTTTCGTGACTGGTTGATTTCTCTCGGCATAATGTCATCCATGCTGTAGCATGTGCTAGAATTTCCTTCCTTTTTAAGGCTACATAATATTCCACTGTATAAATAGACCCCATTTTGTTTATCTGTACATCTGTTGAGGGGTCCTTGGGTTGCTTTGACTTTGGCTATTGTGAATATATTCCACAAACCTTTAAAGATGAAAGGCTTCATCGAGATATGACGCTTGTGTAGGCTACTTTTGGGGTTGTACTTTAGCTTCCTGTGCAGGGGAGAGGGGTGCACACTTACAGGGACCTGCCTATAGGGGCTCGGGTGGTGAAATCAGAGAAGCAGTAGACTGTGTTGTTCCCTGTAGCAAGTTTCCTAGAGAAAGTGTAAGAGGTAGTGATAGCAGAGAAAAAATGTAGAGAAGCTGGAATGAACTACTTAGTTGAGTGAATGAGTATAATGAATGGATTCTCTCATCTAGAGGCTGCTGGGCCCCTCGGGTGTCGGGCCCTCCCCTGGAAGAGCTCTGTCCTGGTGGGGTAAACAGTGTGGTGCCGGCTGGGGAGAGGAGCTTGAGAGACAAAAGAAACACAAAGAGGGCGACACATGTGCAGAGTGAGGATGCTTCAAAGTGGCTCCTTGGGAACCAGAGACGCAAAGGACAAGTAGGAGATTTTCAGGAGGACAAAGATGAGGGATGTTTGAATCATAGCGAAGAGCTCAGATGATAGACACAAAGAGCATGGTGTGCAAGGCCCTGAACTGTCAGGAGTAATGGAAGTCCCACGTATGTGGGTGGATGTGGCGGAACAGACCAGACCTTTCCAGCTGTACCTTAGCTGGGATCGGGGAGCGGAGGGCTTTAGGGGCTGTGTTAGGAAGACTGAATTTTCATCCTTTAAGATGGGAGGCTTGAAGGATTTTGCCCTGGAGAGCAACACAGTTCGATTTACCTCCGAGAGTGATAAATGTGGAATGAACAGCTGGACTCTGAAAGTCCTGCAGCATCTTTATAAGCAGAGAGGCCCTTGCTGTCTTAAACTGCGCACTGAGATTCCAACGCTGCTGCCTTGAGACCTTCTTCAGAACCCCGAATCGATGACCGGCTGCCTGCCTGCATGAATATAAATACACCGTGCTTTTGTAAGCCGCGTGCTCTGTCCTCCGCCGTCCCTCCACTTACCGCTCTCTGGTTCTCTGGCTGGCCCCTCCTAGGTCCGAGGAGAGTTGCTTCGCGAGAGGGTACAGCAGCTGGAGGCCCAGGAGGGACGCTTTGCCGAGTCCCTCGTCTCCTTGCAGTTCCAGAAGGCAGCCAGGATGGCCAAGACCCTGTGGGCGTACACTGCCCTCCTGACCATCCAGGACCTGCTCCTGGAGGAGCTGAGTGCGTCAGAGACCCTGACCAAGTCAGCCTGCACGCAGATCCTGGAGTCGCACAGCCCGGTGAGTGACAGACCTGGGATGGAAGGCGCGGGGGCCGCACCACATACCTCGGTGTTTCGTTCTGGGGGCCACCTCCACTTCTCCCACCATTAGGTGGGTGGTCCACTGTCCTGTGTCCACTGCAGCGTCCTGGAGAGGCTTGAGTGAGGAAACTTCCATGGGAGCATGGTGCACCCTTGCAGCCCAAGGCTGCTCTATTTCATTGCCTCCAAGGAAGCAAACCTTTTGAATTTTAACATTTTTAAAATCTGGGAAACTGGGATGCCTCTTGCAGCCAACAGCAGTATTGTATCTTTCATACTACTATGAAAAATAGCTGTGTAGCTTTCAATGAATGGCGCCTTAGATGCTGTGAAATAACGGATTATTTTTTATTTTCAAAATTCGAATTATTCCTACATGCTGCATTTTTTTCAAGGCGTGAGAGGTATACTCGTAAAACAAAAGCTACCGACGTAACAGTTTTGAGGACTAGTTTTAGTCCCTGTATGTATAATTTTAGAATTTCATGTATTATTATAATAGTTACTTACAGTGAGAAAGGGAACTCACATTTATCGAGTGCCACGTGTGTGGCAGGCAAGCGCTAATGAGCTGTGAAATGGGTGTACTCTCATTTAAGCATTAACCATTCATTACTTAATTGTGTGTCTTAAGATGATCATTTAAGCATGATTATTAATAAGTTGCGATTTTATGCTGCTTTGCAGTTACGCGCTTTGTCAAACATTATGCCAATTAATCATCGAGCCATGCCATGAAGTCGGTACCTTTTCTGTGCTCAATTCTCAAGTAAAGAAATGAGATTCGGGCAGGTGGCAGGTCAAGTTCTTTCCGAGGTCCACAGAGCTAATGAGTGACAGGAGCCAGAAATGTATCCCTTTCTCACTTCAGACCCCTGGGTCATGTTCATGGACTAGTTGATCTTGCTAATGGGGGTTCCCGTCATTTCTTTACAGAAGTCATAAATAACATGAGACCCTGAAGAGTCCAAGCTGTTTTTGCAGCAAACATAGTGCACCCTGCACTGTGACGCCTGTTTGTAGGGATAGGAAAGAAGGGGAAGCTTTGCTGATATCACAGCACAAAACATCCAAATGCTGGGTAAATAAAAATAAACATACTTTTTAATGCTTTGTGACTTTGCAAGAGAATGAGGAAAATCCCCAAGGGCTAAGGATAGCCTGGAGAAGCTGAACTCATAGAGGGAGATAGAAGCAAATCCAGAGGCTGAAATCTAGGGGCAAAGGGTGAAACCCAGAACGCCCAGGGATAGGGGATTAATTTGAAGGACTAGGAGATGGGGCTGTGGGATGTCCTGAGGAGACAGAATGCCCAGTGAGGAGGGAGGAGAAAGCCACCTGTGGTCAAAGCAGCCACCAGGGTAACCTGTCCATCTTCAGCCCTGCTGGTGGCAGGGGGCGAGGGGGGGGAGGGGTGTGAGTCTCCTCTGAATTTGTCATTAAAGGCTTCTGCTAATGTGACATAGGAATCCAAAAATACTTTAGCCATTCAGTCGGGAAATCTCCAAGGTGATAAATTAAATTTAAATAGGTCCAGGTGGGATGCCTGCCCTGGTGCATGGCTAAAGCTAAGGCAGATCCTGTCCAGAGGAAAATATTCTCAATCCGGGCACCTCAGGATTTCTACAGATTAAGTTCAGCCAAATATGAGTTCTCAGTTAAAATTTAAAGAGTCACTGAACACATAAAGACACAAGACAAGAGGACCTGTGTATAAGAGAAACAAAACACCAGCAGATTAAAATCCCCAAGGACTGTAGATGTCTGAATTATCAGTATAGAGTATAAAAGAATGATTTATGAAATTATTTAAAAAGTTAAAGATAATTCCAAAATGATTTAAAAGTTTCATTCACCCAGAGAACAAAGAGATTCTCAACTTGCATGTATGTAGTAAAAGACCCAAAACAACAAAAAGAAAAATTGACCAAACAGGGAGAAATTGATAGATCCCTCATCATGGTGGGAACTTTCAGCGCACCTCCTTCTGTGTTTGATCATTGATCAAATGAAACACCAGTGAAGATACAGATGAACTGAATCACACATTTAACAACCTGTATTTAATGTACACATGCAAAATCTCACAGCTAACGGTTAACGAACATACGTTTTTCTTCAGCACGTATTAGAACAGTTAAAAAGTAATTGACCATGCATTACCCTGTTGACCACCTTTTTGAAAAAGGGCAATTAAGTTTAAATCCGTTTTTTTAAGAGATTAAAACTTCCATACTTTGGAAGTTTTAAACATACTTCTTAATAATTCATGGATCAAAGAAATCAAATTTTCAAAGAAATGGAAATTTTCAAATCAAAAGAATGGAAATTTTCAAATCAAAGAAATGGAAATTTTCAAATTCAAAGAACAGAAAAATAATGTAGATACGACAGTTTCTAACTGCTTTTTTTCTCTCTAAAAAAGCAGTTGTTAGAGAGAAATTTATGCCCTTAACTTATATTGAAAAAGAAGAAAGGCTCACAACTGAAATCATATAAAAAGTTAGTGGGGGGCTTCCCTGGTGGCGCAGTGGTTGAGAGTCCGCCTGCCAATGCAGGGGACATGGGTACGGGAAGATCCCACATGCCGCGGAATGGCTGGGCCCGTGAGCCATGGCCGCTGAGCCAGCGCATCCGGAGCCTGTGCTCCGCAACGGGAGAGGCCACAACAGTGAGAGGCCCGCGTACCACCAAAAAACAAAACAAAACAAAAACGTTAGGGGGATAACAACCACAAATGAACCTGTAGAAAGTAGAGGGAAGGAAGAGAGCATAAATAAAATTAAAAACAAAACTACAGTAGAGAGAATCAATAAAGTGAAATGTTGAATTTTTTGAGCAAAGTCTAATAAATATACAAATATCCAGAAAGACTGACCATTTAAAAAAGAGATAAGGGACAAGTAATATCAGAAGTATAAAAATCAACATAACAACAGATGCCCTAGAGTTTTAAAAAATAAGAGAATTCTGTGAAGAATAATTTTATGTAGATGACTTTAGACATTGCAATGAAACAGAAAATTTTCTAAAAAATTATAGATCACCAAAATTGGTTCAACTAGAAAAAAAACCTGTCTAGTTCTATTACCATGAAAGAAATTGATTCAGTAGTTTTGAAATCTTCTGACACACGTGCAAAGATATCTTACCTTGAGAGTTTTACAGGTGAGCTCCACCAAACCTTAAGGTAGCAAGTTTTTCCAATCTCATATAAGGATTATTTCTGATGTTAAAAAAAATAGGGAATATTCCTCATTTCATGAAGCTCAGATAACCTTGACACGAAAACCAGACATGGATAGTACGAGAAAGAACAATTACAGTTGTCTTACTTTGAGCATAGATGTACAATTCATAAACAAAATATTGACCTAATCCAGCCGTCTGTAAAAAGGATTTAATACAGCATGACCGGACTGAGTTTTTCTCAGGAATGTAAGGTTGGTTTAACATTAAAACATTCATGTACAAAATTCATTAGATTAACAGATTAAAGAAATGACTCCTATGATCATTTCAGTATATACAGAACAAGTATTTTATTGAATTCAGCACCCATTCAACTTAAGACTCCTTAGCAAATTAATAATAGGAGGAAATACCTGCAGGATGTTTACCCAAAACCCACAGTACGTATCGCTGCCAGGTGACTGGCATGGAGGTGGCCACTGCCAGGAATTATAGGTGAAGCAGGTGAGGCCTTCAGAGGAAGGGCAGGTCCGAGGTCATGTATCAAACAAATTAACAAAATAAGACACTAGGAACCTCTGGCTTTCAGTTCCCAGTTCATCTCTTCATCATAAATGCTCTGAGAAGCACCTCAGTTAAGCCCTAAGACACCGAATGGCCCTTTCCACTTGCAACGACCCTTATTCCCATTAGTAATTGGGCAGCACAACACTTACATTTTCAATTTTATCTTAAAGCCCTTTTGAGGAACATCAAAGCTTTCTTATTCTCTAGTGTGTTTAGAATAGAAGAGCTAATGTGTCCTGAATTGGAAGTAACTGATAATAAATTAGAGGATGCTGCATTATTAAATTCCCGGTAAAGCGATGGATACGATGCCGGGGTTTTTTGGAGTGAAGATTTGCATTTGGAGGGAAGACAAGCCTGTCATTTTGCTCCTGGTATTAGACTTTCATTCTGCAATCTGATCATTCTGGGAAAACCACTTTCCCATTGGGAACGGGCTTTTAAGCTGTTTCACATTCAGGAGAATTTAAAAAAGCATGAAATGAAATGCTTTGGAAGCAATGACTCCTAAGAAAGCTATATCAAGTTCCCCTCACTTGATGAAAGATTTAGACTCATTTTGTGAAATTGGGACATAGGCAAAGGCATAATTGAATCATGGGCAAATTTAAATGGGATGGACTTACTCATACAGATAATGTGACCCCAGACTAACTGTACCTACTGTATTTGCATTTCAATTTCAGTGGTTGCGTATCCACTTTTCCAAGCCTGGACTGGACATCTTTCTCTTCTCCCCTCTGCCTTACTGCCCACTTGCTGCCAGTCACCGAGTCTGTCGATCCTGCCTGAATTTTCTCACTTCTGACCTTTGCCGCCCAGCTTCACTCTTCAGACAAATCTGAAAACCAAAAATCACACCAAGAGTAGCTTGCACTCATTGAGCTCTCGTTAAGCCCAAGGCATCGTGTTAAGTGTGTAAACTTTCTGTCAACCCCAGGATGATTTTATTCCCATTCTACAGATGGAGTTGAGGCTTAGGACGGTTAACGCATTTCACCAGGGTCCCACAGCTGGAAAGCAGAGCCCACACCTCCTGCCTGCAAAGCCTGGCTCCTGTCCTGACATTGATTTCCACCCGCCTTCCTCTTTCCCTCTGCAGTCTCCTCCACACTGCAGCCAGAGGAGACTTTCTGAAAAATAAAAATGATCAGTGACAGCCCCATTCCCAGCTCCATATTTTAATATTTATCCTCTACCCCTCCCTCCCTCGGACTCTGAGTTTTAGCCCCTGGACCTTCTTGCAGCTTCCTGAACACTTGAGACACATTCAGGCCTCCATTCCTTGGAAGGACCTCTGCCTAGAATGCTTCTGCTGCCCACGTGCAAACTCCTCTCCATATTCTTAGACAAGCCGAATGTTGCCTCCTCTGTGAAGCCATCCATGATTCGCTTGGACAGAGTTGGTCTCTCCCAGCTCTGTACTCAAATAACTCTCCATCGCGATTCCCAGAGACGGGCTGTTACCTGTCACTGTTACTGTGTTTGAACAACTGTCTCCCACGCTAGACCATGAGTTTCCAGAGTCTAGGGGCCATGGCTCATTCACCCCAGCATCCCTCATGCCCAATAAAAGGCCTGGAACTGTCTCTCTATCTGCCTGTCTGTCTGTCTTCATCATCATCATCATTTGTCCATCTGTCCAACCATCCATTCATTCAAAAGATGCCTACATAATGCTTTCCAGAGACAATAGAAGCAAGAGATGGGGCCCAGAGTCAGAGAAATTAAAATCACTCCTCTCTTGGGTTCTTGGGACTTCAGGAGATTTCCTTACGCTGTCTGCACCTGAGCTACCTTATCGATAAAATGGGACTGTGCTGTTTTGTGAAGATTAAATAAATTAATTCATGTAAAGATAGCGTGAATCAAATCTAGCGCAAGGTGGGCGTTTGGTATGTGCTAATTGCTGTTATTATTACTAATAGTAAGAAGATGCTAATTACTGTGACTCCTTCCGCAAGCCAGGTGCCTGCTTCCTGCTGGGGAGAAGGATGAACAAGACAGTCCCAGAGTCCCTACCTGAGCATCTAAACTCTAGTGAAGAGAGCAGGCATTAAGGAAGACAGTTCTAGAACCGAATCTTGGATTCCAGTTGTGCTAAGTGGCAGGGGTTTGGAGGAGAACTGACCTCTGGGAGAACCTCCCATCAGCATCTTAGAACCTGCAGGATACCAGGTTCCCACCTTGTTTCCTGTTCCTAACCAGGGCTAACCCGGTCTCGGAAAACCAAAGCATGACTCGCCAGCTCTCTGTGCTCTGCCTGTTTTGGGGACACTGGCAGGCGTGGGTCTGTCCTTTCCTTCCCCACACTGTGGGCTGGGGGCTGGCACCTCAGTGGAAGCCTGGTCCGTGACCAGGCTCTGGGCATGCTGACAGAACACGCTGTGGGAAACTCATTAGTGCTGTTGGAAATGCTGTGTTTGGTTATGTTTCCAATGTGGGACGCAGCAACGAGAAGGATGGTCATAATTGGAAATCTCAGTGTGATGGTAGCCCACGCTCAGAGCGTTCCAAAGCTTCCACGGCCCTGACGGCACAACCCACGCACTCTCCACACTACGACTTCAGTTTACCTCTCTGGCCATTTTCTCTTCTGCCTTGGTTTCTGAGCCTCTGGGGGACTTTGAGACCCTTCTGAGCATTTGATGCAAGCTTTGGCCCCTCTGCAGACAGGCAGATGGTTTTGCACAAAATTTAGGAGGACCAAGGGCCACCATCTCCTCATGACACCTAACCAAGGCCTCTTACGATTAAGCCCCATCCTCACTCCACCCCACATAGAACACTGGCCAGGTGGTGAAGAATAGGGTCGGTGTGTCTGCATTTTACAAGGCTTGGGACCTTCCTGCCTACCCTCTCTTACCCATCTAAGCAGTCTGTGGACAGTCTCTTGTACCCAGATTCTCTGACTCTGGTGGCCTCAGAGTGCAGATGTCTTCTGTTTGGCCAGTGAGAGACAGTATAGCCTGGGGGTTAAGGACACAAACCCTGGAGCCGGCTGGCCTGGCCCCGTATTCTGATTCTGCCACTTAAGAATTGCATGACCTGGAAAATTACTTTGTCTCCCTGCCTCAGTTGCATCATTTGTAAGAGGGAAAATAAGATATTCCTTACAGTTGTCATAAGGATTCAATGAGATGAATAAACACAGAGCACTTAGAGTGGGTCAGGCTTGACCTGCGTACTGTCAGTGTTAGGTGTTATCCATGGTTGCTGGTCCAGCACAGCTTTCGCCATGTAGAATACGTGCCGATAACCCATGTGTTTTAACTTTTTTGTGTGTGTGTGCTACACGGGCCTCTCACTGTTGTGGCCTCTCCCTTTGCGGAGCACAGGCTCCGGGTGTGCAGGCCCAGTGGCCATGGCTCACGGGCCCAGCCGCTCCGCGGCATGCGGGATCCCCCCAGACCGGGGCACGAACCCGCGTCCCCCGCATCGGCAGGCAGACTCCCAACCACTGCGCCAACAGGGAAGCCCAACCCATGTGTTTTAGAAACAGGTGGGAGCTGCCAGGCAGCTGCTATGTGCTGCAGGTCGGGGGATGGAAATGCAGCCCTGCCCCCCAGGAGCTCACACTCTAGCAGAAGGTGGAGCATTGTCCTAATCTGCTCGTGCTGCTGTATCCAAATACCATAGACTGCAGGGCTTAAATAACAAACATTTATTTTCTCACAGTTTTGGAGACTGGGAAGTCTAAGATCAAAGTGCCAGCTGATTCTGTTTCTGTTGAGAAGAATCCTTCCTGGCTTGCAGATGGCTGCCTTCTCACTGTGTCCTCACATGGCAGAGACAGGGAGCTCTGGTCTCTTCCTCGTTCTATAAGGGGACTAATCCCATCTTGGGGGCCCCATCCTTGTAACTTTATCTAAACCTAATTACCCCCAAAGGCCACACCTCCAAGCCCCATCCCACTGGGGATTAGGGATTCAGCATGTGGATTTTGAGGGACCACAAATATTCATTCAGTCTGTAATGGGAAAATACGAGGGATGGTGAGTGGACAGTTGAGGAGGGGGAGTCTGCATCTCCCAGGGGACTTAGGGAGCCATTAGTAAGTGCCTGACAATTAGCTTTTTTGATTGTAATATAAGTGCCTGACATTCAGCTTTGGATTGTCGAGGCATCCGTTTCAAAGACATCGTCTGAAAATAAACAGGTTGCCCGCTAAACAACTAGATAAAAGTCAGGCTGCCCCACCCATGAATTTCCCTTTTTTGGAAAGCTCTGGTTGACCTACATACCTGACCTCTTGAGTGACCCTGCTTTGCCCTCCCTGCGCCTTAATTCCTGCTCTTATGATTTAAGTTCGCCAACAAAGAGTGAACCAGTGAAACACTAGGCACCCCACCCTTGACCATCCAAAAGGCAGAGCCCCAGGACCATGTTGTCTCTCTCTTTGCGACCCTGCTGTGTGGCCTGGGTGTGCCATGTACCCTCCAGGGCCTGTGAGTAATAAACCTTGTTTTTTCAAGGTCCTTGATGGTTGTTGTGAGGTTGAGTCTTGCAATCACAAGGACCACAAGGGCGGGTTCAACCTTGACATCAGCGTCAGGAAAATGCCTGTGGGCGCTGCCCCAGGGAGTGTGGACCCCCAGGCATCTCCAGCTAGTACCATCACAGTCCACAGGCTGAGGCCAACACAGAACAGAGCCCTTTCCTGAGGAGGTTCTTCTAAAGCCAGTCCTTGAAAGAAGACTCAGAGTTGGCCAGGCAAACGGGGAAAGGCCCTGCAGGTGGGTGTACAGTGTGTGCAAAGGGACGGAGGTGTGAGAGACCCAGATGCAGTCTCGTCATGCTGTTTGGCACGGCCAGATCCGGGAGGCAGCAAAAGGAGGTGGTGCTAGGCTTGCAGCGCCGTGCCAAGCAGGGCGGATTTTATCCTGCGGTCCACCTGCCTTGGGCTCATCACCTGCCCCTCTGTGTGCAGGAGCTCCAGGAGCTGGAGAGGAAGCTGGAGGACCAGCTGGCGCGCCAGGAGGCGGCCCAGCTGCAGCGGGCCCTGGAGAGTCGGCAGCAGTGGGCAGGTGAGGGGCCTGGGCTTCTGCACGAGCCGGAGGAGGAGACAGATTCTGAAAGGCAGGTTTCGGCTGTCCTGCGACGGGCCCTGAGCAAGGGTCAGAAGTTACTGGAGCGTCACCAGCAGAGGTGAGCCAAGGGCCCAAGGGCAGTGTGTAGGCTCAGTCCCCGCAGGCCAGGGGGGCACCTGGCCTCTCAGACTCAGTGGGATAAGGCCCACCTGGGCTGTCATGCTGCCGTCTGAGAGGTCCTCCCAGCACTCAGGCACGAGCTGCTAACTTCGTAACAGGCTTCTTCCCTGACATCTTTTTATACTTCATTTTTTGAGTCTTTTAATATCTAATTTCTATTGAATAATATTGAGGTTTTACTGAAGGTAATATTTTTCAGCTTTTTATTTTGAAATAATTATAGACTCACAAGTAGTTGAAAAAAATAGTGCAGAGGTTCCATGGCCCATCACCCAGCTTCCCCCAATGGCAACATCTCACAGGATAACAACACATTATCCAGACCAGGAATTGACATTTGCACGATGCAGTGAATACAGGCCTTACTCAGGCCTCACCAGAAACATGATATTTATATCCTGCTTTTGTAAAATTATAAAACAGACAGAACCCCCTGATCTTCTTTTTTGTTGTTGTTTTTTGCATTCTTTTTCGATTAATTAGACAATTAGCCTTTGCCCATGGCATTAAGAACTGTTGAAAAAAATATTTTTTCCCTTACAGAGTCTAGGTATTTTATTTTATTTTTGAGTTACAATTAACATACAAGATTATATTAGTTTCAGGTGTACAACATAGTGATTCAATATTTTTATACATTATGAAATGATCACTGCAGTAAAACCAGTTACCATCCATCACCATACAAAGTTGTTACAGTATTACTGACTATATTCCCTATGTGTATATTACATCCCCATAACTTATTTATTTTATAGTTGGAAGTTTGTATCTCTTAATCCCCTTCACCTATTTTGACTCTCCTCCCACCCCCCTTCCCCCCAACCCAACCCAGCAACCACCAGTTTGTTCTCTGTATCCATGAGTCTGTTTCTGTCTTGTTTGTTCGTTTGTTTTGTTTTTTACATTCCATATATATAAGTGAAACCATACGGTATTTGTTTGTCTCTGTCTGACTTATTTCACCTAGCATAATACCCTCCAGGTCTATCCATGATGCTCCAAATGCAAGATTTCATCCTTTTTTTACAGCTGAATAATATTCCATTGTGTATATATACCACATCTTCTTTGTCCATTCATCTATGGATGGACACTTAGGTTGCTTCCATATCTTAGCTATTGTAAATAGTGTTGCAGTGAACATAGAGGTACATATATCTTCTGGAAAACATAATTTTTAACAGCTTCATAATTTTCTATTGTGAATATAATGTTGACATGTGAAGGACAGGGTGAAAACTATATATACAGCATGATTTCATTTTTGAAAACATACACACAAATTAACTGAATAGGCCAAATTGTAATAGATGTGATTTCTGTGTGGTGAGATTATAGGTTATTTTAATGTATTTGATTACGCTTTTCTGTGTAAACAGAACATCAAAGTGCAGTTCTGTTTTCCATTGAAATAATTGCATAAAAGACTGAATCTGTTTGATCAGAGGAGAATGCTCAGAGATGTTGACTTTATTTAGACTTGATTTAGGATTTTAGTAACATACTCCATGCTTCATGGTGGAAAATGCTGACGATCAAGCTTTTGGTATGAAGTGTACCTGCAGATTGGGTTTAGATTGTATTAACCAGCAGGAATGCAGGATGGATAACCCAAGATGCCAACTTTGATGGGCTGAGGAATAGGCTGGGAGGACCTCCTTGTGGGGAAGTCAAGAAGCCTGATAGAGACCTCGTGTGATAAGGTGCCACCCAGCCTCTGTGGTCAGAGTCAGGTCCATCCTTGAGAGATGGCTCTGGGCCCGCTTCAACACAAGGTCACATGGTAATTGAAGACTCCAGATCTTGGTGTTCTTGAGCACAAGCATGACAACTAATACTGAGAGTTTTCAACTTAGGATCACGGTTGGAGGTCAGAGGGAACGAAAAGTGCCCACCGAACTGAGCAGGCATCTTGAGACCGAAAAACAAGGCAGGCAGCTCCATATAACCAATGGATCTGTTTATCTAGGGTAACATACTCACAAGGTGGGATCAAGCAGACAATAATCCAGAAGCCTTCACAGCTGCATTCCGCACCACCAAGGGGCCATTGGGACAATTTTATAGTTAACCTAAGGTATGGGGATAGGTGCTTGGAAATAGGACGTGCATTCCTAAGTCAAGATTTATGAACGGGTAACTAGTCTCGTGGGTGCCAGGAATACTTCAGGGAAGGTTTTCATCCTTGTCTGGGGACTAACAAAGCATAGAGGCTACCTGGTCCTAATGATTATTAAACAATATCTGTTAACTACAAAGCCCTTGATGACAGAGAAGTGATTCACTGCACAGTCCTAGGTGGGTCAGCAGAAGGACAGGAGAGACTGTAAGGGCCCAAGATGGCATCAGTTACGCTAATAGCCATGCAGATCACAGATTACCCTGCAAAGCCACAGAAAAGTCTACATATGGCTCCCACAAAACTTCTTGCTTCGAGGAGCTCTCCATCCTGGTGAGCCCTCCCTGATACATTATTTGCAAGATAATCTAGCTAAAAACCAGCAAGCTTCTTCTGGCCACCTCTTTGGATGGATTTTTTTTTTTAAATTATGTTGATTAGATTTGTGATCCCTTGTTATTTAAATAACTAGGATTTAAATAACTAGCTTTGTAACAAAACTGGACTCATATAGGTTTTGTCTTCACTCTAGTTTGAGAGAGGAGCAAGAGAACAGTGTCATGCTTGAAGATTTGCTGGAGAATATGGAGACGGACACCTTTGTGACCCTGTACAGCCAGGTGAGAACAAGTTTGCCATGTCCTGGGTCCATCCCTTGCCAGCGCATCACTTCACCCTTTTCTCAGTGTCCACGATTCCTCACCCTCAGGATGGGGATGATAACACGAACCTTGGGAGTTGCCAAGCAGATCTGTGAAAACCCCTGGCCCAGGGCCAGCACATAGAGGACATTTGATGGGGGGTCACGGTAGCAGCAATGACAATAGTAATCATTGCCCTGGTCAGTTTCTGTAATTAGACAGGCGCCCAAACCTTCTTCTTCTCAGTCTTAAGTAAGTTTAATATATACATTTAATATATCCATTTTTCAAATAGAGGAACCATGCCCAGATTGGTGGCGTGAGGGCTTCAGGGCTCACTGCCGTTCCTTGGAGCTCAGGATTCAGCCTGGGGTAGATGACTACACAGGGTGTGCTCTTTCTGCTCAGTTTCCCTGCAGAGCACATGATGCCCCTGGCCTGGGTCTCTGGGGGAACTGAGCCATCTCCACACTCACTCTGATTGCCCACCCCCACCTTTCTTCTTTGTAACTAAGAGAATTGACAGACGGCCAAAGTGTCACATGTGGAATTTCATCCAGATTCATTTCTGATTTGTTGGCTCTTTTAAACCGTGAATTCTGCTGAAGAATTGGCCCTATGGTCAGGGGGTGGTTTTTCCCTGCCCCCAACCCTGTGCCTTGTAGAGTCCCCTCAGCAAAGTCTACTCAACTGATTTGTTTCTTTTCCAGCCCCTGTGTATTAGTGAGGATTTTTCAGAGAAACAGAACCACAAAGACTTGGGGGGGAGAGAAGGAGAGAGAGACTTACTTTAAGGAATTAGCTCATGTGATTATGGAGACTGGCAAGTCCAAATAGGCTGGCAGGATAGACCACCAGGCTGGAGACCCAGAGAAGAGCTGATGTTAACAGGTCAAGTCCAAAGGCCCACTACTGGCAGAATTCACTGTGGCTCAGAGGTCAGTCTTTTTTCTGTTTGGGCCTTCACCTGCTTAGATGGGGCCCACCCACATCAAAGCCATCTGCTTTAAGTCCACTGACTTAAATGTTAATCTCATCCAAAAGCTTCTTCAAAGAAATATCCAGAATGATGTTTGTCCAAATATCTTGACACTGTGGCCCAGACAAGATGACCTGTAAAGTTAACCGTCACTCCCTGTTTAGAGGACTCCTGTATTTCACCTGTTTCTTCTCTGTACCAGGCGAGATGATAACGAGGGAGGTCAGGTCTCCCTCCCTGTCTCCCTGTTCTTCCTCCTACTCTTTCTCATTACTCCTCCTCCCCTCCTCCTCTTCCTGCTTCTCCTCCTTTTTCTTCTTCTTTCTCTTGTGATCTCTCTCTCTGTCTCTGTCTCTCTCTCTTCTGTTTTATTTCCTCGTGGTTACACTGCCTTAGGGACAGCATAGTTTGAATTCCCAAATTTGCATGAAGCGTAGTTTCCACACGAGCAGCCATGTTTTCATGTTTATGCAACTTTGCCAACTCCTCCTTTTTTGCATATTTATGACAATATCTAAATAACACTCTCGAATGCCTGCTCTGTGTGCTAGACACGTCACACATCATCCCAGTTCATGCTCACCATTGCTCTGGGGACCCCGGCAGTGGGAAGAGCCTCCCCAGGGCACTGCTGCAAATCCGTCAGCCCTTCTGTGATGGTGATGATACAAACAGCAGCTGATATCAGCCCAGCGTTGAGGAGAGGCATGGAGAGGATCATCACCTGACAGATGAAGAGACTGAGGGTCAGAGAGGTCATGTGACTTAGCCGGGGTCCCATAGCCAGTCAGTGGGGGCTGGTTTAAAATCAGGGTTTTTATCCCTTTAAAGGCTCTCCTCATTCCATTTCATGCTACTGCACAATTCCCTTTAAAGCAAAGTATTTCCTAATTGCTTCATGAATAAAACAGGAAGGGGGTGCTCATTTAAAAATGAATGGTACTAACCCCACAAGGCAGGAAGTTTCCCTGTGCTGTGGGGAGAGGCTGGGACCCCATCTGTGGTCCTCACTGAACTCGCCTCCTTTCTCCCCTGGGGCTCCAGCATGACTGCAGCCACTGTAGACGACAGAGTGGCATTCTTTTCTAACCACATAAAGGATGACTTAGATTCAGCTTAAGATCTTCTAAACGGGCTTTGTTCTTGAATAATATTGACTGTGCTCCTAGTAAGTGGCAAGTGCTATCCTAGGCACTGGGATTTTAGCAGCAAACAAAACAGATAGGGCTTCCCTGGTGGCGCAGTGGTTGAGAGTCCGTCCACCTGCCGATGCAGGGGACGCGGGTTCGTGCCCCGGTCTGGGAGGATCCCACATGCCGCGGAGCGGCTGGGCCCGTGAGCCATGGCCGCTGAGCCTGCGCGTCCGGAGCCTGTGCTCCGCAACGGGAGGGGCCGCAACAGCGAGAGGCCCGCATACCGCAAAAAAAACAAAACAAAACAGATAAAGCCCATGCTCTCAGGAGCTGATATTCTAGTGGGGAAAGCAGGCAATTAACAAAATAAATACATAAACCAAATAGTATTTTATGTGGATTATGATCTCATTTTTATAGTCATGTCCATCCATCCATCTGGCCGTCACTCCATCTGTCTATCCATCCATCCATTCACTTGTCCATTTGTCTACCCGTCCATCCATCCACCCATCTATCCATCAGTCCATCTGTCTGTCCATCCATCCATCCACTCACCTACCATCCATCCATCCATCTATCCATCTGTCCATTTGGCCACTCGTCCATCTACCCACCTAACCACCCATCCATCCATCCACCCACTATCCATCATCCATCTATCCATTCACCTATCTGTCCATCTGTATACCCATCCACCCATCCATCCCTCCATTCATCTACTTATGTATATGCCTAAAAATATTCCTGGAACGTGGTTTGCCTAATCGTACTGATAACTATTTCTGGATAGTGGCATTTGGAATAATTACTTTAACATTTTTGTGCTTTTCTACATTGTTTGATTCCTTAAAATTAGCAGTATTTCTTAAAGATCAAGGCAAGGATGAAATATGCCAAGATACACCCAAACAATGGAAATCCGTGCCAGGTCCAGTGGTGGTGAAGCAGAACAGGAGAGAGGGGCAGGCAGGGCCTGCTGTGAAGCCTGGTCTTTCTGCCACCGTCTTCTGCATGAACAGCCGGTCCCCACATTGCTTTGTGACTCATTTCAGTCTCTAGAAGTGACCCACACAGATGCTTTTTGTGTCACCACCTTCAGGAAGACTAGACCCAGTTGATTGACCTTTGTTAAGGATTATTTTATTGATCAGAAAGCTTCAGAGCTGGGAGAGCCATGGCTGTGGGCCGGTGGGTCCCCATATTCACCAGTGGGGATCCCAGTGATGAAGGGTTACTCCTCTGCCTCAGGAAGAAGTGAGTCTACAGGGTGTTGATGGAGTTTATCCTTCATTTATTCGACCCACGTCTGTTGATGTTTTTCTCTGTGCTGGGAACCGGGTTAAATGCTGGAGGTAGAGAGGTATATGATGCTGACCCCATCCTAAAACCTCCCTGCAGAGGCACATGAGAAATTGGACAACTGAATTTTATACAAGAATTGGACAGAAGAGAGTTGATTAACACCAGAGAAAAGCAGAGGAGAGGCATCTGTCCCAGAATGTGGTGTCAGGAAAGGCTTCCAGGAGCCTCACACTGGTGTAGAAACCAAAAGAATGAGTTGAGGAGAGCCAGACAGAGAGCACTTTGGGGAAGAGTGTACTACAGGCAGAAGGAAGCACACGGGTCGCCAGGAAAGAGCTTGGTATTTATAATAACACTTTTCCCCATCACTGCACTGAAAGCATTGGTCAAAGTAGTAAGCAGCCCCATGTTTCCAAATCCAGTGGTCAAGTCCATGTCTTTGTCCTTCTTGACCTCTCTGTGGCACTTGATCCACAGCCCTTTCCGTGAATATGTTCCCTGCTTGGCTTCCAAACCCTGGACACCTGGTTCTCTCCCAGCCCTCTGGCTACCTGTGCTCAAGCCCCTGTTTTGTATGCATCGTGGCCTTTGGACGTTGGGAGCCTGAGGACTCGGTCGTTGGACCTCATTCCCTCTCATCTACATTCACTCCCTTGCTGATGTCATCACCACACTGGTTACCATCTAATCTTAGCTCCAGACCCCTGCCCTGAACTTGAGACTTGACATCGCCATTAGTGACTTAACCTGTCCAAACAGAACTCCGAGTGACTGACAGTCCCCTGTCCCAGGCTTGCTCCACTCACCTGAGTAAATGACACCAGTTACCCAGCAGCCCAAGTGAAAGATGGTGGAGTCATCCTTTATTCTTGTCTTTCAATGAAGCTTGTTGGCTCTACCATCAAAGAGTCTCCCGCGTCCCACCACTTCTCACCACCTCCCCTCCACCACTCTGGCTCACACAGCTACCATCTCTTGCCTGAGATGCCGCCCCTCTGCTACCTCACTTGTTGCAGATGGTTCATGGCCCCTGTGTCATCTAAAGTCATCTTTAAAAAATGAGAATCAGCTCATGCCATTGCCACTGCTTAAATTCCTGCAGTGACTCCCCAGCTCACCATGAAGACAAGCCAAATCCTCCCTACGATGTAAAGGTCCGTATGAGCTGATCCCCCGCCACCTGTCCCAACTTAACTGTTGTCTCTCTCCTCACACGGTCCATGCCCGCCACACTGGCCTCCTTCACTCTCCATGAAACATGCCAAGGATATCCCCACCTCAGGGTCTTCGCCCTTGCCTTCCCTCTGCCTGGAAAGCTCTTCCCTTCCATATGCCCGTGGTTCACTTCCTCACTTCATTCAGGTCCCTGCTCAGACGTCACCTCCTCGGAGAAGCCTTCCCTGACCACCTGTCTCAAATATCAGCCACCCCCGCCCCTCACCCTCTGTCTCTTTATCCTGCCTTGTTTTGCATCCTGGCACCTACACTGCCTGATACGGTGTTTCTTTGTAGGCTTACCATCTGTCTCTTTGACCTGACTGTGAGCCTCGTGAAGGCAGAGACTTTGACTGTGTTACTTACTGCTCTGCCTCCAGTGCCTGGAACAGGGTCTGGCGCCCAGTAGGACTCCATCGTGGTGTTGGTTGAGTGAATAAGTGTGCTAATAATCTGGCACAATGGCCCACCAAACATGTCTAAGTCCTAATTCCCAGAACCTGTGAATATGACCTTCTATGGCAGAGGGGATTTTGCAGATGTGATTAAGGATTTTAAGATGGGGGTGTTATCCTCGATTATCCCAGTGGGCCCTAAATGTAATCACAAGTGTCCTTACAAGAGGAAAGCAGGAGTCACAGCTTGAAGAGAAGGCCATGTGAGAATGACAGAAGCAGGGATTGGAGGATGAACTTTGAAGGTGGAGGAAGGGGCCATACGCCAAAGAATGCAGGCAGCAGCTGACGCTAGGGAAGCCCAGGGAAGGGATTCTCCCCGGGAGCCTCCAGAAGGAGCCAGCCTGGGTGACCTTGACTTTAGCCCAGTGACACTGATTTCAGACTTCTGGCCTCCAGAACCGTAAGAGAATAAATGTGTGTTGTTTTAAGCCCAAGTTTGGGGTGATCTGTTACAGCTGCAATAGGAAACTCATACAAATACTGTAACAACAGCAACAACAAACACTCACTGAATGACCTTGATTTGTCAAGCACGGCACTTAGATGTCTTGTAAAGTCAGAATTCTTTTTAGGTGAAGGTAACAGAAATTCATTTCAAACTAGTTTGAGTGTAAACGAAATATATTAATACCCTGACTGTCCCCTCCAAGAGCAGAGCTGAGCTCTGGGGGCTCAACTGGCAAAGGACTCTTTGTGGGTCTCTCTCCTTCTCTGTCTCTCTCCCCTGTTTCTTTGTGTCCACTAATAAGCTTATTCCACACAGGAAGGGACATGAAAGCTGACAGCCCTGAGCTGATGGCCTTTCAGCATCCAGCTCTCCTGGTTTTGCTGTATAAAGTGCTTTTTTTCTCCTGGGTTTGCTGTGTAAAATGCCAGGGAAGGTCTCTGGTTGGCCAGGAGGCCAGGCATGCCCATGCTGTTGCTAAGAAAGGGAGTTTGCCTTCTTAACACAGACCAGTTTTACACGTCACAGCTCATTTTGTCCTCACAAAGCCTTTTGACATAGGTATTATTGTTAACTCATTTTACAATATGAGGGAGCTGAGGCCTGAAGAGAAATAAAGACACTTCCCAAGGACACACAGTTCTGTGCATTGGGGCTGGGAGCCAACACAGGTTTGGGGGAGTGCAGAGCCTGCCTGTACTCTCTCTTTCTCCTTTTCAAACCTTTTTCTGAAATACTTTTAGGTTCACAAGAAGTTGCAAAGCTAGTATGGAGAGTTCCAGTGCCCTGACCCCTGTTTCACTGTTTCCCCCCATGGTTGCATCTTACAGGACCCTAGGACAATATCAAAACCAGAAAGTTGACATGCATATAAAATGCATGTATAGTTCTGTGTCATTTTACCACATGTAGTTTAGCGTGACACCGCATTTAAGATGTCGAACTGTTTGGTCACCACAAAGATCTGTTTGTGCTACGCTTTTATGGTTATATCCATTTCCCCTCCACATCCCTAACCCCGGCCACTAATGCTCTGTCCCCCATCTCTAAATTTTGTCGCCTCTGGAATGTTATTCACGCAGAAGTACAGCGGGGCCTGGCTCTTTTTACGCAGCGAAACGCCCTAGGGATCCATCCAGTTCTTTCCTTTCACTGCAGACTGGTATTCCGTGGCATGGCCATAGCACAGTTTCTTTAACCATCCACTGATTTAGGCACATTTCAGTCGTCTCCAGTCTGTGCTGTTCCCTCTGAGCCCTATCACCTCACCGAACATGAGAAGAAGGAGAAATTACTAATGGGCCCAGGCTGCAGCTGTGAAGAGTGAGTGGAGAGTAGCTGGAAGGGATGGATGAAGGCTTGGGGAATGTCATGGCAAGCCAAGGCTGCTGACCAAATAGATTTTTCTTGACAGCTCTGTGACTTTGGGAACATGGTTTCAAGACTGAGGTACTAAAATATTTATCTCCTGGGGACAAAAAGTCCTAAGACTGTGATCCATTAAAACTTGCTGTTCGTCAAGGTTAGAGCCGTGAGGCTCTGAGTCCCCGCGTCCACTCCTCTAGGAGCTGAGATTGGCGTCCTACCTGTCGAAGCTGACGATGCTGCCGGGGAGCACGGTGCGTTGGCTCCTGAGCGTGGCTGTGCCTGCAGCCTTGCAGCCCGAGCTGCTCTCCGTGCTGGATCCCGTGGGCCAGAGGCATCAGGACCGCACAGTGGAGAGTGATGGTGGCGGGGTGCAGGCTGACCTGGGCAGGAGGGGGTGAGTACAGGGTGGGAAAACGAGGTCCCCGTAGAGAGAACGGATGGGAGAGGGGGGCGGGACCACGGGGCACAAGCACACCCGCCTTCCCAGGGGAATTCCTTTGCTCAAGCAACAGACAGCATCCCGGAGAGTCGCTATGCATCCTCTGTGTAAGTCATGGCGGACCCAAGTATTTTGTCCACAGCTTCTCTTTTCATCACCAATTCATTTCCCCGGTAGGATCTTAAGAGAATAAGTAGCCTTGGGCTGTAAATATGCCATATATGCATATTTACAGCCCAAGGAATAAATAATAAAGGAAATCAATAAATACATAAAGAAAAAGAAGAAAAATATATCCATGGTTCTATCAGCTGGAGAAAATGGCTGTTAGCGTTTTGCTACCATTCTTCCTCCAGAACATGTTTCCTCTGCTGGGTTTTATGAGTGTGTGCATTGTGTGTGTGTGTGTGTGTATAGTAATCCCAGTATATACAACCTTGTGTCGTGCTTTTCAGAACCTTATATCAGAGGCAAGTTTGCTTATTACCTTTCGACTCTTGTCCACGTGCAGACGGCTTTCTAATTATCACACTATTTTGACGCTGTTTCTGCTGTTTTTATTAACAAATTAAAATTCATACTTTTCCCAGTTATTGAAACATCTCCATAGATATTATTTTTAACAGCTGCCTATTGTTCCACTGAGGTGTGTAGCATAGTGTATGTAACTGTTATCCTCTTACTGGACATTTAGTTTGTGTTCATTTCTCCTCAATTATGGATAATGCTGCAGAGCTACTTTTTTAGGGTCAAGAGTCAGGTGTGCGTTTGATCAGTTAAGGGTCTTTATAAGTCAAGACATGAAGTGTGGCTGTGGATAAGGTGGGTTTGGGACAGCCAGTGGTGCCACTTGAGAGCAGAATTTGCTGGGGGAGAGGCTACAAGGAAAGCTGTGAGCAGACCTGAAAGTGTTGAAGACCAGGCAGTGAAGCTGAGATCCTCAGCCAGGACCCACAGGAGGCTGGGGATGGGTGTCTCGGAGCCCATGAGTCTTCCAAAATGGCATGATTGTGTGAAAAGGTGTGTATGTGCATTATTTTTCCTGACGCGTAAAGGGGGTCCCTGACTCAGCTGAGGGCTAAGGGTAGGGTTAGGGTGAAAGGAAGGATAGGAGCCTGGGAACAACAGCTGTTGAGCAGGGGTGGGAGTCCACAGGGGCTGGGACGAGCCTTCCTAGAGTTGGTGGGGCCCACCACGAGGGCTGGATGTGAGTGTGGTCACAGGAGCTGGGGTGTGGGTGGGGTCAGGGCTGGTGTGGGCGTGGTCAGAGAGCTGGGTGTGGTCAGAGAGTTGCGCGTCTCAGCCTGGTTTCTCTCAGTGTCCAGTCAGGCAAGAGCATGAAGGTGGCAGATGTCAGTGGTGACGCTGGAGCAGGAATGTGCAGGGTCACAGCGATGTCACCTCTGCCTGAGTGCTGCCCACGAGGACCTTATTTACGGGCTCCCCTTCGGCCAGTTTAGTTTGGGAGGCTGGTAAGCCGGCATGGGCAGGTGGATGTGGGACAAAGCAGGAGCGCCCAGGTGGCTTGTCGCCAGGAGTGTGGAGCATGGGCATGCCCTTGTGTAGCCCGACCTCATGGCCAAGTAGACTGGATGACGTCTGGAGTCAAAAGCCACTCACCATAGCCTCTGAGGGCAGGGCAGTCACTACTCCTGTGTCCCAAGCGACTGGTGCCTGGGCACACTGTCAGTTCAGTGTCTTGGGTTTCACGCAGCAGAAACTGACTGATGAATCTAAGCAAGAAAGGGTGTGTGAGGGACCTGTCAGAATCCAGGAAGAGCTGTACGCCGGGTCCCTGTATGGGCAGGAGAAGGAGAGCACGGAGACCATCCTCTCTGGGTGCTCCCTTCAGAGGACCAGCCTTCTCTTCTCAAGAGCTAGACTCCTGGGACAGAGAGCCTGGCCCAGCGTGGGCAAGGGTCCTTCACCCCACCAGCTGGGCAGTGTGAACCAGCTGAGGCAGAGTATGAACTTGGCCAGAGGCAGGCATAGACAGGACTCTCTGCTACACTGATCTTTACTGACTTGATTTGAGCCCAAGCCTGCGAACACCTCCCCACCCCTGCGAACACCTCCCCACCCCCTATTCCTTATACACTGTCCCTTCTTCGGTCGAGAATCACACTCCTTCACGTGGCATGAGGACTCCCTGACTCACCCACCTTCCAAGCTTCCACTGTGCCTTCTCAACCTTCTTATTCATATATTCATGAACACTCACTGAGATCCTAGTATGTCGACTGTCTTAGGCACTGGTGCACATGGGAGAGTAAGGGACAGTCCTGCTGCATGGGGTGTCCGCTCCAGTGGGGGAGGTGGACTGCACACAAGCCAAGGCAGAGAGCCCATTCCTTGTCGAATGCACCATGCGTTCCCTGCTGAGATACCAAGATTCAGCTCAAGTGTCCCGCATCTCGGCAGCCTTCCTTTATCTGACTGTCACCTGGGACCTGTCTGTGACCCGTGGATTGGGGACCCCTTGCGGCAGAGACCGTGTCTTGACTCGGCCAGAAAAGATGCTTGATCAGTGTTCACAGAGTGAGTGAGAGAACAAACGTGAAAAGTCTCAGGGTTTCTCATGTCAGCCAAAGGTCACACTGAGGGAAGGAGTCCCCACAGTGCTTTTTAAGATTTTGCATCGCTTGAAGATTCTGTTCTTTTTGAAAATATAAGAACGCTCCCTTCTTGCCCTCAGGAAACATCAGGGCTGGTGGCAAGCCTTTGAGAGCAAACTTCGAGGAGAACTGATAAGCAGAGGATTAGAAAAGATGCTCTGGGCTCACAAGAGGAAGGAGAGGTAATGAGGGCATCTGCTCAGGTGGGCTGAGGCGGGCAGCCAGGCTGCCTGTGAGCTGGGAAGGGGAGGCGGAGGGGACCACAAAGGGAGGGTTACTGCAAACATGTCAACATTCCTTCCCTAAAGACCGCAGTCTTTATTCAAAGTGGGCTTAGTTTGAAGTGAAGTAAGCAGAGAAAGACAGATACCATATGATACCACTTATATGTGGAATTTAAAAGTCATACAGATGAACTTATTTACAAAACAGAAATAGACTCACAGACATAGAATACCAACTTACGGTTACCAAAGGGGATAGTGGGGGCAGGGTGGGGAGGGATAAATTAGGAGTATGGGATTAACAGATAAAAACTACTAGATATAAAATAGATAAGCAACAAGGATTTACTATATAGCACGGGGAACTATATTCAATAGCTTGTAATAACCTAAAATGGAAAAGGTGCACTTTGCTGTACACCTGAAACGAACACAATATTGTAAATCAACTGTACTTCAATTGAAAAAAAAAATGCAAAGTGTGCTTAGTTTATGAGCTGAAGATAGCCACCAGCTATCAGTGGGAGAATGTTCTGTCATTTATTAGCATTTTAATTGCAGTATTTATTTTAACTAAGGGCTCTTTTTAAATGGAATCTCATTAGAAGGAGAATAATTCCTTATAAATGTTCAGACTTTATAGTTTACAAAGCCCTCTCTCGCCTTGCTGCACTGAGCCTCCCCACTTTCTGGAAAGTGGGGGAAATGCCACGGCCACGCCTCACCAGCTCAGGGAGGTCAGAGGAAGAGACCCCATGCCTGCAGCTGTTAAAAGTGGCCATGGGATTTAGGGCCATGTAACCAACCCCTTTATTTCCCTGAACTTCCGGGCCAGCGCTCTTCTCACTCTCTTGAGTGCCTTCTCTTTCAGCTGTGGTGATTGCACACCTGGAGAGCAGAGGAAAGTTAGAGGCAGCACGGTTTTAGGGTGCTACAAACAACAGACCAAGGGTCTCGCGTGTTTCCCACTAGAGATTCGGAAAAAGGGTAACATGAGTCACAAGAGTTACATTAGACCGTTTAACATAAAAGGTTAAAATGTGATAACCAGGGGCTTCCCTGGTGGCGCAGTGGTTGAGAGTCCGCCTACCGATGCAGGGGACACGGGTTCGTGCCCCGGTCCGGGAAGATCCCACATGCCGCGGAGCGGCTGGGCCCGTGAGCCATGGCCGCTGAGCCTGCACATCCCGAGGCTGTGCTCCGCAACGGGAGAGGCCACAACAGTGAGAGACCCGCGTACCGCAAAAAAAAAAAAAAAAAAAAAAATGTGATAACCAAAGTGTGCTCTGGAAACCGAGGATGTCCAAGAGAAGTGTCCTGCCCCTTCCATAATTTCTCAGGGCTCCGGTGAAGCCGCAGAGACAAGCTTCCCAAATAGTCCATGAATAAAAATCTGGGAGCCATTGATAATGGGCCAGGTATCAGAATTTAGTCCCAGAGAAATTAGAACCGGATATTGAGCCCAAACCAAGAAAATTCAATTCAAGCTGTATACTGTAAAGCGCTCCACTAAGGAACGGAAGTCAGTTGTTCTAGATTAGCATGGGGATGGGGCTGCTGAATGCCTTCCTGGGCTGCACTGACACAAGTGGGCGAGTACAGATCAGGAGAACCCTGGCGCCACTGTCTCGGATCGCTGTACTTGCCTTTTTGCCTTGAGATGCTGTGTACGATGGCGGGAGGAGGAGAGACTGTGAGTCAGTCCGAGTTGCCTTTGAGTCCTTGCTCAGATCATGCAGCTGCCAGGGCAGGAGTTCGTGCTGAGGGGGATGGAGCCTCATTAGCCACGCCTGTTCAGGAAGGGCCCACGAGCCTACCAGTGGCCTCCAGTAGGTCGACTCCCAGTGATATGGCCTCGTCCTGCACCGCTTGGGCAAGGACCCTGTGGCTTTCAGGTTGTAGAGCGCTCTGAGGAGGAGTCAGAACCATTATCAAGAGCAGCCAGGATTTAGGGACTGGATTGCTTATGGGCAGGATTCCAGCAGTCCTTTTACAGGATATTCTCAAAGTGTGTTGCTCTGTCCTATTTCAAACACATTTTACCTAACTTCTAACTGTTGCTTTATAATCAGGTTTTGTCAGCCTGCTTTTAGTGTGAAGCCCACAGGCAGGGGTGTCCTAGGAAATGTCTCACAATTGTTCCTGGAGGAGATGGGAGCTCTGATTTGTAGCACTTAGTTTCCGTGGTGTGAAGCACTCCCACCATGGCTGATTCCGTGCTGACAGTATGATGACCACAGGCTCACAAAACTCCACAAAAGTGAACAGTCATGAGTTGGTGAGAGCTGTCTACAGCCACCGCTGCTACAGGCTTCAGCTAATCTCAGGGGCAACCTGGCAACCACAGGGCAAAACCTTTCTTTAAAAGACACTTGATTGGGGCCCTAGGGACAAAAGGGGGTTTTCCTAGAGAACTCTTTCAGGACACGGGAGAGTCAGTTGCCAAAAACGTCGTATCTGATCTTCTGTTCTTTCTTTAGCATATTAAAGAAGACGTGTCCCCCTCTCAGAGAGAGGGTGATATTCTCTGGAAAAGGAAGTTGGCCACACCTGTCACTGGAGTCCATTGGTGAACTGGCCCCGGTGCCCATTGTAGGGGCAGAAACCATTGATTTATTAAACACTGGCGAAAAGCTCTTTATCTTCAGAAATCCAAAGGAGCCGGAGATCTCACTGCACCTTCCTCCCAGGAAAAAGAAGAAGAACTTTCTGAATGCCAAAAAGGCCACTTGGGCCTTGGGCATGAACTAGCCCAAAGGAAAGCTCCAGGGAGTCTGAAGACAGAAAGATTTGTTTTCTCCTGCCCACATGAGTGTGTGTATGTGTTTATAATGTACAACTTGCAGGTAGTAATTGCACTTGCAGAGGACAGATACATCCACTCTCCCTCCCTCACCATGACTTTCATGGGCTCAGTTTAGTCTGGTCCCATGAATTCCCAGATGGCCCATTTCCCTTCAGCATCGCAAGGGACGTGAAGAGACAGGGGACCAGCCCGTGAACCCTCGTTGCTTTCAGTCCCACCTTGCTGAAGGTCTAGAGGAGCCCCGGGCCCCTAATTCACATCCCCGCAACACCTGGCTGAAGAGTGGGCTGTATGTTGAAGGCAAGGCTCTCTCTTCTCTCACATTGTGTGTTTGTTACATATTCTATTTTCATCAAGGGAGCTTTTGAAAGAAGAGCATTTTCCCTAAAGCTCTTCTCAAGGGAACTCGTCTTTGCTTTCTGTAGGAAGCATTTATTTTTAATCCCTTCTTGGGTTTTGGCCATCACGTTGTGATGTTCAATGGAAATTTGCCCTCCATCTTTCCAGGGGCCAGAAGATGTGCCAGCCACTGGGCGATACCATATCCAACTCAAATCAGGAAACTCAGAGGCTTAAGGAGGTGAGGGGATTTAGGCAAGATGATAAAGCCACTAAGTAACAAAGCCAGGACTCACTGAACTCTTTACGGCCCCAAACCCTTGTCCCTTCTCCTGGACTTGGTAAATGGACACATACCTGCCCTCAGGTGTTTGCCAGCAAACTGACTGCACACAGGTCCTCGTGTTGCACAAAGTGCTTTCCTGTGCCCTGACCCTCTCCATCCTCACAGTGTGGTTGGATCATTATATGAGCTTTTCTGAGAACCAGGCAAAGAATACAATTATAATGGGTCTTTCCTAAGCGTGGGAAATGATTAGGCAGGGAATCCTGTCACCAACGAGAAGAAAAGGGATTCTGATGAAACATCTCTTACATGAGAGTTGCTTCTAGACCCTTACAGCTACTTGAACCCACTTTTTTTTTTATATACAGCAGGTTCTTATTAGTTATCTATTTTATACATATCAGTGTACATATGTCAATCTCACTCTCCCAATTCATCACACCACCACCATCACCGCCACCACTTTCCCCCCTTGGTGTCCATACGTTTGTTCTCACATCTGTGTCTCAATTTCTGCCCTGCAAACCAATTCATCTGTACCATTTTTCTAGGTTCCACATATATGTGTTAATGTACGATATTTGTTTTTCTCTTTCTGACTCACTTCACTCTGTATGACAGTCTCTAGATCCATCCACGTCTCTACAAATGACCCAACTTCGTTCCTTTTTATTGAACCCACTTCTTAATCCTTGACAATACCCAGCAGATGAGGGTCACTACTCCCATTTTACAGCCAAGGAAACTGAGACTCAGAAAGTTTAAGTAACTCGCCTGTGATCACACCATGTGTAAAGGAGGAATCCTCACTTTGAACCCAAGTCTCCTAGCTTTCAAACCCTTACCTGCCATGAGACATTGCATTGTCTTTGGCAACCTGAAGGCCAAGTCTTATTTGCAGTTTCCCATCAGCATGCGTGGGAATCTGCATGCATCAGGGATCTTTGCCTGGAGTTGCACTTCTTCCAGGGGCAGCTGTGTACCATCATAGTGGCTGCCAGTTGGCCATATCTCTGCATTAGCAGATATGCACAAGTACGCAGTTCAAATGCAGGAGAGAAGAGTGGATGGGGTCAGTTTTCCCGTCAGAAGCTCAAGTGAGAAGAGAGAGGAGAGAAAGAGCAGTGATTTTCACACAGTATAGTGGAGTGGAAAACGCATGGTCTTTGGTGTAAGCTTACTTAAGTTCAGATCCTGCTCTGTTGCTCGTGAGCTGTGTGTCCTGTGGAAGTCACCTGACATTTCAGAGCCTCGTATTCTTCATCAACAAAAAGATGATGAGAATCCCTTGTTATGAAGATTAGATGAAACTGGATCAGTAAAGTGTTTGGTGGTGGTGTGCACCTGCCACATCTACGTCCTTCTGTATTTCTTGAAGGTGACCCATCTGCCTTTCTAATAATTTCCTGATTCTAGGACTCTGCTAGAATTAGGCATGGTTGAAAATAGATTGCACATAAGGATTCGAAAAAATAGGTCAAAATTATGGGCTGAAGGCTGATTGAATAGATTATTAGCAACAACAGGAGGTGCTCAAACTATTCAAAATACAGCATTTGAACCTAATAATAACTCCTTATGTTAATAGACAAAGACTAGCTATTGATTTAATTTCTCTAAACTCACTGCATGAGAAACACGAAGATGTGATAGGGAAATCTTGTGCTCCTGGAATCAGGTAGCTCAGGTTTAAATCCTGGCTCTACAACTTGTAAGCAAGTCACTTTACCACTCTGAACCTTAGTCTCCTCATCTGTAAAACAGGGGTCCTAATACCTACCTTAGGGGTAGGGATGGCACAAAGAGTGAAGATGTTGGATATTATATAAAATGTTGGTGTTCAATAAAATGTTGATATGCAATAAATGTAACTTACTTATTATGTTTTTACATACTCATAACATTGAGCTTTGCGGTTCCTTTCATTCCTGTTTTCACCCTACATGAAGACAGTGACCCTTCTAGAAGGGCTGTACCTGCCACAATACATGGAAGCCTATTCATAAGAGAGAAGCTCCAGGGAACTTGAATTGAGAGGACTTGATTTCAAGATGGGGCTCCATTACTTACAAGTTGGGAGAATTTGAGAAAATTGCTAACCTCTCTGAGGCTCAGTGTCCTATGGATCATGTCTTCTAAGAGTTCAGTCTAGTTAAGTTGACAGACACAAAAATAAATCATCGTTAAGCATAAGGGATAAAATAGAGTTCTGAAAACCATGCTGTGGGAATTTGGGAGTGAGATGCAACCTGACTGGGGATATTTGGGAACAGCTTTAAGCTTTTGACCTCAAATCTTTATCTCCAGACTGGACTTCCTCTTGGGCTCCAGACACATTTGTCACAGATGCCTGTCCAACCCTGAACCCATTGGCTTCCTATGAAGCCTGTTCCACTATGGGATGTCCCATCTCTGAGTAGATGGTACCAAGTCAGAAACCTACAGGTCATCCTAGACATCTTCCTGTTTTCAACCCCCAAATATGATGACTACGTCTTGCTGATTGGACTGCTGCATTAACCTTCACATCGATGCCCTCTTCCTCCCCTCCACTCCTTCCCAGGCCATGTCTCTCCTGGATGGTGCCAGCAGCGTCCATTCTCTCCAGGTTGGCTCAAGTCAATTTGTTCTATGGTAGCCATATCTGAGTCACTCCCTTGCTGAAAGACCTCCAAAAACTTTTCAATGCCTACAAGACCTCCATGAATTGTCCACTAATAACCTTCCTACCTGTGTCTATAGGGGAAGCCTCTACTTTCCATGGAGCCATTGATTGGCAATGAGACACAAAGAAGAAGGTGGATCTGGGTTTGCCTCCTGGATCTGCCATTTACTCTGTGGCCCTAGAGAAGCTACCTAATTTCTGTGAACCTCCGTTTCCCTCACCTGTTTTATAGGATTAATGAAGTGATACTGTAATGTGTCTGCTACAGGGAACACACAATAAATGCTAGCTATTATTGTTGTCTTAGAAAGTAAGTTTGTAAACAGGAGGGACATGATATGATTTGTTTTAGAAAGGAACTCTAAATGTCTTATGGAGGATGGGCCAGGAGTAGAAGCAGTTACTTGGGCTTTTTATTGGCTTCTGTCTTCCAATACACAGCTACAGGTAGGGAGTGAGGAGATAATTCTATTCCTGCTTTGTATGCGTCCTTGCTTGTCTGGCCTTTGTTTGCCAAAATTACCAGCAACCACTCCACCACCAACAACAACACTAACACCATTACTCGTGAGTTTGCTTTCTCTGGATCAGGCACATCACTTGAAGATTTATCTAAATTTTTCCTAATCCTCAAGAAGACCAGGTAGAGGAGGATGTTATTATTCTTATTTGACAGATAACCTGCTATGAAATGACGTTACTCATCATTAATGTATATGGGAACGGCCATTTCTCACCCACCTGAGAGTACTTCCTCCCTAATTTTACTGCACCCCTACTTCATTTGTGTGGTAACATGTTCAGGGGAAGGGGATTCCTCCTCCAGCCCCAGGAGATGAACCATCACTGACTCCCAGAGTTTCCTTACAGGCTGTGGGGGTGATGCTAAAGGTCTCTGCCTTTTATTTAATGGTGGTGTTTAGACCATTATATTTAATGTATTTGTTGTGTTTGCATTTTAATCTACCAAACTGCTATTTCGTTTTCCATTCTTTGATATGTTATTTGTTCTCTTTTCCCTCCATTCCTGCCTTTTTGGTGTTGAGTATCTTTTATGATTTAGTTTTATTTTCTCTGTTGGATTATTATCATACTTCTTTCTTTAACTTTATTTATTTATTTTTGGCTGGTTGGGCCTTCACTGCTGCACGTGTGCTTTCTCTAGTTGCTGTGAGTGGGGGCTACTCTTCGTTGCGGTGCGTGGGATTCTCATTGCAGTGGCTTCTCCTGTTGCAGAGCGGGGGCTCTAGGCACACGGGCTTCAGTAGTTGTGGCGCACGGACTTAGTTGCTCTGCGGCATGTGGAATCTTCCCAGACCAGAGCTTGAACCTGTGTTCCCTGCATTAGCAGGTGGATTCTTAACCACTGCACCACCAGGGAAATCCTATCATATCTTTTTTTTAGAGGCTGTCCTAGGTTTTACAATATACTTTTTTTACTTATATTCCATCTTCAAATAGTATTATGCACCTTCACATATAGTGTAAGAATCTTGCGACAATACACTTCCATTTCCCTGCTCTATCCTCTCTGCTATTGTTAACCACATTTTTGCTTCTATTTGTGTTAAACTCCCACGTACGTTGATGATATGCTACTTTTTATATGCAGTTATCTTTTAAAGACTTAAAATTAGAAGAATATGTTTTTACAAATATTTGCACCTTCTGGTGCTCATTTTTCTTTTATGTAGATCCATATTTCCATCTTGTATCACTTATCTTCTTCATAAAACATGTCCCATAAGATTTCTTCTAGTGCAAGTTTTCTGGTGATGAGTTTTCTCACACTTTGTGTCAAAAGTCTCTCTATTGCCTTCATTTTCAAAAGCTGTTTTTACTGAGTGTAGAGTTCTAGGTTTCCAGTGTTTAAATTTTTTTCTTTCACTACTTTAAAGATGTCACTCTTATTGGATTTGATTTGCTAATGTTTTGTTGAGGATTTTTGCATCTGCATTTATGAAAGATATTGGTTTGTTGTTTTCCTTTCTTATCTTTATCTGATATTAAGGTAATGTTGATCCCATAGAATGATTTAGGAAGTGTTTCCTCTGCTTCTGCTATCTGGGAGAGATTGTAGAGAATTGGTTTCACGTCTTCCTTGAATAATAATAATTATCCTATGGAATAGTTTCACCAGTGAATCCATCTGGGCCTAGTGCTTTCTGTTTTGGAAGGGTATTAATTATCGATTCAGTTACCTTAATAGATATAAGCCTATTTAGATTGTCTGTTACTTCTTGTATGAGTTTTGGTAGCATGTGTCTCTTGAGAAATTGGTCCATTTCATATAAGTTATCAAATGTGCAAGCATAAAGTTTTGGAAAATATTCCTTTGTTTTTCTTTTAATGTCCAAGAGAATAGTTGTGATGACCACTCTTTCATTTCCAATATGTAATGAGCTTATTCTCCTTTTCTCTCCCTTGATTAACATGGTTACACGTATATTGATTTTATTGATCTTTTCCAAGAACTGGTTTTATGTTTTCTTGATTTGTTTCTATTGTCCTATTTTCAGTTTCTTTGACTTCTGATACAACAAATTTTAGTATGTCTTTTTCTCTATTTAAGATTAAAGTACAGTCTCTTACAGCCCCCTGTAGTCCCCTGACCACTACTCCTTACCTTTAATTTCTTCTTTTCCAGGAGCAGCTAATTTCAACTGTTTAGCTGTTTCTTGTGGCATCAAGATTTATACTCTTAGGAACACAGTGCAACTTCTCAGTGCTGTATCATTCATAACATACATTGACCTTCTATTACAGCAGATGAGAATTTAGCTTTCTTATACACACGTAAA